TTTGTTTTTTGTGTTAAAACATGGTGCTTTGCAGCACATCTTGCCTAGCGATATCCCTCCATGGGTATAACCANTCTAGATTAAGATGGGGGACGTCAGGAGGTATACCCTCTTAGGACGTACCCCATCGGGACTTAGCTATCTGCGTGCCCCCAGGTTGAGGGCAATCCGCCTCACCTCAGACCTGTAGCAGACCCGCTTCTGCAATAACAAGCAACCTTCCCATCTCAACGTGCTCGTGGACAAGAGTGTCTACGGCAGAATCTACATCTACTACATCTAGGAGGCAAGCCACCGTCGGGCGGGCATTCCTTTAAAAACCCCAGCAACCCCCAATATGAGCAGGTACTGCTGCAGGTCCCTCCTTTTTCAACCCGCAAAGACACTACTGAATTCATATTCGGAATGATTGGCCACGCAAGCGAAAGCGCGGGAACACGCATACCAGTAGACACCATTACAAGATATGGTATTTCCATGGACATGCGGGTGAACATTCAGTAACCTCCTCCATGGATACGGCCGGTCACGGACCTGTGCTTGGACGCCCCTGTGGACGTCCATAGACGGTCCGCGGACGCGTCCGTGAACGTCCGTCGATGACCTTAACGTCCGTTTCCACGTACCACGAAAAGGTCAAAACGATGTAGTCCAAACATAAACCCAATGCGCCGCGACGCTGCAGTCACACCGCGCACAAACGACTGCGTTGAGTGCTGTGGTACTCTTGTTCAGCAAAAACCATGGCGCTGCGGGGGTTTTTTGCTGCTTCCGTAAGGCACTCCTCACAATTACTTTGCCATATTATATCGGAGTAAAAAGCCCTAGCGGCAGCAAGCTACGTAGGCGCCACAAGTTTGGTTTGCCTCGAATGACCAACTTCGACATGATGATCGGCAACATCGCTGTGACTTTGTCAGTGACCTCGACAGCATGACTGCGACACAGAATGCAGATCCGAAAGACGCTTATCACTGACGTGTGGAATATTTCTCGCAAGCTAGGCTACTGTCATCGAGGTAGACGAGGGCGTCGCTGAGGCGCGGCTCGTACATGTCACTTCACGAACTAGCACCACCGTACGGCCCCATACGTTCACAAGCGGAACCGGGTGCAGAATATAAACTGGCGAAAATCTAAGACCTCTTGACATATGAACAACAGTCGCTCACACGTTCAGCACCAGCAACATTCGCAACCAACGTGATGACACACACAAATGTCGGAAGACGCAGGTGGTGGCCTTCTCGAAACCGCGAAAGACCAACGAATCGAATTGCTGCGGATCGGTATTTCACATAAAGAACGCCGCTTGTCAATAGTCCTCCCAGAACCTTTTGCATGACGTGGAATGCACGGCCTCGTACTGATGGCGTGGACCATACCCTCGGAGAACATCGCGTAGGCGTGGACCATACTCTAGGAGAACGGAAACATCGCGTATTGCTTGGGCTACGATTGAAGTCTTGTTGCAGGCAGCAAACCCAGAAAGCACAACCATGCGAACCAAGAAAATATTCCATACGCCGTTGACGTGGGACAAGGAAATGTCAAATACCACGAACACATATTGCACTAGGAGGTGCGCACAGTGGCCAATTCAAGTATGTCACTCAATTCAGGTGACTCGTTGACGTTTCGTGTCTATGTTGTCCGTGCTAAGAGGCGCTCATGTGCACTCGTTGCCACTGGCTAGTCACTGCATTGCACTCATCGATGCTCGTGACTTTCCGGTAGTCTGCTTCGTACTGTTCCAGTCCGGCTGGATCTGCTGGGGCATACCGCCGATTCGCCTGGCAGACCCATTCGAACTTGCCAAGACCCGGCTGCGTGCCAACATAATCCATAATCAGCCAGTGAACAGCATTGGGCATGTGGTACCTGAGAAAGAGTTCGTTGTGGTCAATGGTCTGCTTGTTGAGATCAGGTTGTGTGTATCACGGCCCACCGTGATGGTGATTGTGATTGCCCTTGGCCCTGTGTGCAAACATGCCTCGTTCTGTCGGTGATATAACTGTTGTCAAGGGGTCTGCGCACAGCAATCAGTGACTAGGGTCTGCCTAGTTTACACTGTACGAGTGCGCGAGGAAGAGCATTGTCAAAGATTTTCCGGAGCCCCCGTCAGCTGGTCAGCTCGTCGGTCCTCTCTCATTCCTCATTTCTCCAAACCGCTGAATCTAATCAAGCGTCAAAACGTAACGCTTCACGGCCCTGATAGGAAAACAATAGGCATAGTATTCGAACATCCGCACTAAGCCAATGGAGATCTGCATTGGTTTTACGGAGTTTTGGCATCACGTTGAGTCGGTTTCCTTGTTGAGCTGTTGGCTTGCGTGGGTTCGGGAACTGATACTTGTTGCCCCGGTCGCCCCGGTGGTCTAGTGGGTAGCCTCGCAGCCTGCTAAGGGCCAGGTCATGGGTTCGAGTCCCGACAGAGAGAGTTTTTTTCTCACCAAATAAATCCTGGTCTAGGATGAAAGCGACGCGCTGCAAAGCTCGTTTGTTAGTAAACCATAATCGACTTCGTAAGTCGCGAGGGAAGGGATTGCTGTACCCTTCTCGCGATAAAAATACCTCAGGCATGAACCGCAGGAGGGGGTCCAACCCCCCCCTCCTATGTGACCCCGGTTGGGTCGTCTAGCTAGTAGAAGTGGAGGATAGGGGCCAGAGGGGCAGACGACAGAGTCCAATGATAGGACAAAAACAAACAACAACAACAACTTGTAGCAGCGAGACTACCAAGCAACATTGTATATGATCTTCAACCGTTGCACTTACCACAAGTATGCTCCGATAAAATGAAAGCTAGAAAACATCATAGCTCTCTCGTTTGCTGTCCATTTGGCCATGGTGTTAGGATGCATACAAGACCCGCGTCGGGTAGCCAGGAAGTCGACGAACGGCATCCCGTGGTGCTGCTCGATGAACTCTCGAGCAGCCGGGTATCTGAGAAACAATGCAAATGGTTGATGAGCAGGCAATTTGTGCGTCAGGTGTCACACACGTAAGACATACATGCGTGCAACGAGACCGACACAAAAAGCTGCGTTGATTCACCTGGTGGGTGTTGAAGTGTGGCGTCAAGAGGCCCATTTGCTCCCGTGGCATGGAACGAAAATGGAGAGTCTACCATTGGGATGACGTTGTCGTTTCCTGCGTTTACTCATGAAGCTAGGGGACGACCTGTTTCGAGGTTGCCGTAGTTCGAGTGCTTTTCCGCATGTTGGAGAAAATCGTAAACATGTTTCTAACGCGTTACGTCGGGGCTTCGTGCAGCATGCAAGTTCGCCTCACATATATCGTGGATACACGTGGGCGTTGAAGTTGCTGAAGTCGTGGGCGACATCCTCCCCGACCGCGAAAGACGTGCCATTCTGCCAGCATAATGTCGTCGCCCACCCTGCTTACAGCGAAGCATACGGGTGCCCGACAGTTGAAAACTCACGAATGACGCAGGGTGTTGAATTGAATTCCGAATCCTCGCCGGCGAAACGCTGATGTTTCGGAGAATAATGGAATTGAACGTTGCTCACGACGAATAAGAAATATGTCGACTCGTGGCCTTGCACCATATTCACCCCCGTAACTATAAACAGATGTTCATCATCGAAGGGTTGTGGCATGCTTCCCCTCGTTGCCCTACAATCAAGCAGGGTTCGCTGTTATGTTCGTGCGCGCGAAGATTCATGCGTCTGTCATGCTTGGGAGACGGCACAAACGTCTTCGGAAGACTCAATTCTCCATGGAAATCGGCATTGCGTACTTGTGAGGTACATGGGGTGCAGGACAACGTGACGCCCACAATAGTCGTGCTGCCGTGTGTGCTTTACCTTCCAACGTCTCTTCTTCCGGGTATCGACGGAACGGCTGGACGGGCACGCCATCATCAAACACGTGCGCGGGTGTTACGTCCTCGAAGACGACTGCGTCTGAATCCAGGTGCAAAACGTATTCTCCTTCCGTGTACAAGTCAGCCCGTAGCTGCGGCGTGGTCAATAGACAAAGTCAGCGCACAGAGGGCAACGTCAAATTGCTTCGAAGCAAAACATTTATGCTTCTGCATCGACGTACACTCCCGGCAGAATCATCGTTTGTTGCCAAGGTTTTGATGATACCGCACTTTCTTCTCTTCGAGCGTGCAACCGTGTGCGACTCTTCAATAATTCGTTGGTGGCACTCCGAACGTCACATGATGTTGTTGACGATGATGCTTGGCACAATTGTGGGAACAACCTGTACTAGAGCCATGAAAATCATGCATGTAGAAGATTACTATCGAGGAAAGTATTGAAGATTCTTGGACGGGCGACAACAACCCCAAGGTGACCGATTCTACAGCATTGCGACGGGAAAACGAGGTTCAGCGCCAGCAACGTAGTCGACACAAATACATCTTTTAGAGTTGCAGTGACAAGCCGCTACGCAAACGTTGCAAAATCACAACAGTCCAGTCTCGAGGTCAAACCTCGTCGCAGAGGATGCGCTCTAGGCAAGTAAAGGTCACAACAAGCGCCTTCACCCTTGCCCTTTCCGTCTGCGGTGGTGGTATGATTTTGCGTCTGACATCTCCGACCGAGTCACAAATCGTTGTCAACCGGTGCTGATACTGTGCTCACCAGGATGGAAGCAAATGATAAAGAGAAAACACAACATCACATGCTTAGGGTTGTCTATGAAGCTCCAAACACAACTAGTTGCTACGAACGTTGCGAACTTGTGAACGTTATCCAGGCGAACGTGTTGCGGCTTACACGAAACTTCAACTACATGCACGGCCAGAGAGCTACATATAAATTATCCACCGCTTGCTCACAGAACCCGTCAGACTACGTTTGTGTAGCCTGCAGACCTTTCAAGCTACTGCCACTGCCCACGTTTCATACGATGTATGTTATTCTCACCTTCGAATACGCCTGCTGAACGTTGCCGTCCATCAGCTCGGGCTCCCCGATGACACGAATGGGAAAGGGTACCGCAGTCCGCAACGGTCGGACAATGTTCTCGAAAATAGCGACGTCGGCTTCAACGACAACGACAACCACTTCAAAGGCACCCGACAAGTGCTCGATTACGGTGGCGATGGACATGCTGAACAGCTTGGCATCTCGGGCGCACGTTCGATACATAACCGCGATGTGGTAGTCCTGCAGCGTCGGCGTTCTCTGCTCTGCCCCTTGGTCACCAACTTCCTTGTCAGCCTTGAGGTCCAACTTCGATCTGTCAACTGGCTTAAAGCCGCGCTCACACGATGCCCCCAGTTTGAACCCTTCCAGCTCTTTGGCGATCATTCCTCCCACGTCGTACCCGTCCCGAGTTAAAGACGTATCGAAGGAACAGCCAAACCGAGGCTTCACCATCGGGATATCCCAAATAGAATCCTCCAAGAAAAGGTGTTCATGGCTCCATTCACGAATGTTGACAAAGGTCACACCACGTGGGCTAAGGGAATAGGCTAAGGCAGCAAGCACCTGTGACAAGGAACAATGCGTTAGAGACACCGATCGCTGAAAAATGATATTTGTTGGCTGACAGGCACGCTCGCACCAGATACCCACGTGATACCTTAGCTAATAAAAGGCAGCCATCCCGTTCGAAAGCAAACTCTCGGTCAACGTTCGCCTTCATCCCACCCATTCTTGAAAGTTGTTCAGAATGTGTATTGCCTCATTCGGAACCTCTAGACTATGAGGTGCACACGAAAGCCTTCCTAGTTTTCGATCGTAAACCCTTTCATCCCGATGAAGCCAGGTGATATAAAGTAAAACAGTATTTCTCAAGGCTATTGCAAAATGAAAGTGCTGGGCATGATTTCACACACGTCAAGTGCCAATCGCACCCACCTCAGGAATGTAGATTTCGGCGGAGCCTCGGTGCGCTTTCGCCACGTCAGCCAGGTATTCGTACACCCTTTCCGTTTGTCGCCCGGTGTCGCCGTCCTCAGCGTTCGTCGGTGCGACCAGCCTCTGATTGGCGCCCAACATGACTCGGAGCTGTGCATTTGTTTCCGCCGGGAGGATGAGATCGCTTCCATGGGTAAACGTCGGTGTGGTAACCCCTAAAAGAACGGTGCTGCCCAGCGCACGCCGTGCGAATACTGGGGGGACTTCATCTGCGTTGGCAAGGGAAACTATGAGATCCCCCAGAACCGTGTGCGTGTCCTTTGCTGTAAAGGTGCGACTGACCACCTGACCAGCCTCGATGTAGTAGATCAAGCGTGTCCCCTCGCCACAAACTTCATCCGCGATCAAAGCACCATACGACACGCTCTTCGAAAGTCCGATGGTGACGCCAGGAAGGTGTGCAAACGCCCTGAAGGTTGAAAACGACAGGTGTTATCGTCACGAGGAAAATCAGGCAATTATCTAGTATCAGATTCCGCAAAAACGAAGAAATTATGAAATCTCACACCGCCACACAATGATTTTACGTGGATCCGAATCCAACCCCAATTAAAATGTATTAGGGCAAGGCTGGATTTGCACGTCGAGATAACATGGAGGCGTGTCGTCGTTCTTCATGTTGCCTGCAGAACATGTGCTGCACGTTTTCGGGGGGTGGTGCCTCTTCGGAAGTAATCCGTGACAATTCCTTGCCCTGGTGGGCCACGGCAAGACTTTGAATTTCCTATGCGTTCTTCATGGAATGCTTCCGAAATACTTCTGTGGAGGTTTCACCATCCCGGAGCTGTGGGCAATACATTCTACGCCGACCAATTCATCGTGAAAACAATACAAAAACAAATACGTTCACTTCAAGGAACCGTGAAACACATCACAGGCAAGTGAAGATGCCGACATCGGGGTGGAGCTGTAAATCTGTTCATGACCTCAAAGGCAAGTTCTTTTGACAGCAGCAACACTTGAAGTAGTAGAGAATCCGACCGAACAATACTGACTCGCACGCCGCACACTGACCTATCGAATTCTTGGAAACTCGTTGCATCTGTTGCTATCGCGACCCTCATTCCCGGCATGAGTTCCAGAACGCTCGACACGGAGACCTTCGTTTCCGGCAGAAGCTCGACATACCCGCGCATAAAGGCGCAGATATGACCACGAGTGGTGGTGCCGATGTATGCTATTGCGGCTGGATTATTACTCTCGTCGGCTGCGGCAAGAAGCTTTCTTTTGCTCTCCCGGGAGGAGACCGCCGAGGGCAAGCCGTCACTGGTATCGGCACTTCTCTTCCCGGTGTTCTCCACCGTGGCCTTCGTGTGCGATCCGATCGGTAGTGGGGGCTCATGCGTGTTGCACATAACAACCCTGCCGCCGTGAGCCTTGGCAACCTCGTCTGCGAGAAGAGCCACTGACGTTTCGTGGAAGCATAGACGGCACGTGCTGCCAAGGCCCCTCCAGTTGCAGTTGAAGTCTCCATACCACCCACTTCCGCAACGATAATCGCACACCTGAGCAGATGGCGACAAACAAGAACCCGGTTGTATGAACATTGGGATACGCCCAACGTATAACTGTGTTGGGACAGCATTGTCTCGACGTCTTCACATATCCCAGAGTTGCATGTGTAAGGTGTTTTTGGTAAAAGCGCTCTCCGCATAGTCTAGTCACTAGAGGCAATTCAGTTGATGCCCCCCCATGATTGCGTTGGTTGCTCGGTAGAGCGTGCCTCTGAAACAAGTTAAATTCACTGTACATAGCATCTTCTCGCTGCCCTGTTCGTGTGACCCTCAAACCGATCATGCTGCTGACGGGTTCTGTACCCCACGATCCGGCGAAAACTTGACACTGAATCAAACCATTCAATGCCGTTATACATGTAGCGCGGGTGGAGTGGAGAGAAGCGCCCGATTAGAGGCGTTCCAAATCGCGACCCGAACCAAGTTTTCCTATGCACAGCAATTGTGTTTCAAATTTGTTTCAAATCCTCGCCACCAAAATTAGCAGGGGCGCCTGGAACGAAGTGGTCCTATTGGGGCATGCTCAGGCCCCGAAGACACAACGAGCGGCATTAGGTTGCGGTACGCTACCATTGGCAGATAATCCGTGAGGTTTCTCCTCGATTTCGAACAGGGAGTCTGGGGACACCCTAAACCTAAGCCCCTCGAGCGTACCTGTGAGTGACACGTTCTGGGCTTTAGATCTCGTCGAGGCCCATAAATTCACATTTGTCTCTGTCGAACGCCGAACAATAGAAGGAATCTCACCGTGTCGGTCATGTCCTGGCAAGCGGTTGTGCATCTCGAAGCCTGGGGCGGCTGCGTCGTGTCACACATGACGACATGCGCATCGGGCGTAGAGGGATCCGTCGACAACGACGCCAGAGTGCGGTCTGCGGCCAAGGCTTCGTCCTCGTTCGTGTAGCACAACCGGCAGTTGCTTCCGTACTGCGATGGGTCACCCGCGCCGCAATTATGCCCCCCCAAACGAGGTCCTGCCGGTGACCAACCAGTAGAACAGCTTTCGTCGCAAAAGGTCGACGCGCCCGTCCCAACCTTTCCGGAATGCTCTGAGCCACAAGCACCGGTACAGGAAAGGGTGTTGGGATCCGACGCACTCGCTTTGTTGGGGGTGGAGACCTCGGCGCTACCGCCGCTGTGAGAGCTGCCGTGGATGAACAGCGTCTCCTGTGAAATTGCTTGCGCCACGTGCTTGTCGCTGACGTCGAAGAACCCAACGTTCGAAATCTGTGATAACGAAAATGATATCGGCGGATTTCCACCGGTTGAGTGGGAACCCTTACCGCCCCAACTGCCATTTAAACTTTAAGGCAGAGGGATGTTTGTTGCGGTATGTCAGATTGGTCTGAAAAGTCAGAATCACATTACCCCCAGCTTTGACATCGCCGTACCGTCCGATTTCCCGTTCGGTGTATTGCAACAGATAAGGCTTTGCTCGTTCTCGTAATCTACACAATAATCGTATTCTTGAACGAACAGCGACGCGCTGGACGAGTCGGTGCGGTTTCGACGGCAATACCCATTACATGATAAGATCATACCAGTTTGGTGGCCACGAAGTTTGAAGAGTATCGCTGCCAAAGCAGCCAGCTGTAGGGGAAATCCGAAATCGTGGCCCAAAGCGCAACGTCGTACCTGCCAAATCGCGAAACAAGGGCCATCACAACTACGAGTTTTCCATTTTGCGTGTCGTGCAGGTCATGTGACGTGCTTTCGCACCCATGTTTCCACGAGTGCGAATAAGTATGTCTACAGCGTTGACTCTCCCTCTCTCGTACCCCCTCTCTCAGCGATGTCCCCGCGCGTGCTAATACGAGACTGAGGTAGCGTGACTGTTCTTTATTCGCTCCTCTGCAAGAACTGACTCTTGGAGGACAAAGGCACCAACAACGTACATCTCTTACGCTATGGTCAAGGTGCACGCAGATTGCGATTGCAAGGATACCACGCCCATGAGGAGACGCCGCCATGTATTAATGATCCTTCTGCCGACAACATGTCGGAACGAACTTATGAATGAGAGTATTGTACTTACGAATAGGAGTACTCCCATCGAGCCAAGGTGAAGTTGACGTACTGGGTGAACGCCGGGTCAGTGTTGTTGTCTGTAAGTGCATGTGTAGCAGGTACCAGGACGTCAACGAGGTGGGAAATTCAGCGGTGGTAACCGTGATGATGAGCTCGTTGCTTGGGACGAAGAAGCCGAGCATTTGCACAACGTCATATTCGCCGAGCATCTCATCATTCTTAGGTACAATTCTCAACACCCCCCACGTGCGCTTGGCATAGATGAAAACAACGTCTGAGCAGGCCGACTGTCTCTAAATCTCTCTATTTACATGTATCCAGAAAAGGTACTTGAACTTGAATACTCACACCGGCACGCTGATGTTGCCAGATACATGCGATGAGACCAACATTTTCTTTGCCCATCGTGATGCTCATCTACACGGAGAATCGCCCAACTTGATGACGAGGCATGAAGTCTATAACTTTTTTGTATTTCCACAAATGGACCACAGCTTCGAGACAAGATCAACCAACATTCATGTAGCTTGTGACCTACAGCTGATGGCCACGCGAGTACATGACAGTTCTTTTCTACCTCACACAGATATAGAGCTCTGCAACACAAGGCAGATACTGACGTCGGCCACAGCGGATCGATGCTGCTAAACACTCACATATGGCGTTTCCGTTGAGATGCCCCAGGATATGCCACATGTCTCGTAGTTCTGCCGTCTGATGAAACTCAGTGCCCACTAGAGGGCTGCCTTTCACCCAGAACGGCTCGGAGAAGAATGCGGCTTCGTACAGTCTCGAAAAACTTGTAGAGTGAGCCACTAGAACATCCCACTCGATCACGGCAAGAGCATCGTACTCTTCGAGGGAACCAGCTACGTCCTCGTCGAGAAAGAGCTTGTAGAACATCAATGAAGCCCCTTTCGGGTACACGTTGTCCTATGAAGAACGGTGCAATGGCAAGCACGACAGCGTTTTCATGGAAAGAGACCGGCCGAAGGATGAGGAAACGACGTAGCCTCTGCGATGATGTGACGGAGCTAAGAGTTGCCGTGTTTCCTTTTCCCTAGGATCTAGCTGCCATGCTTGGCACCAGCACCCGTGATTCTACTCCCGAGTGAATCCTGTGGTACAAATAGGTTAAACGGCACAACGCAAGTTTCAAACTACGTATGAACTTCTCCGGGCATATCCTAACCGATGCAGCCACACGGGGTTCGTGATGAAGAGACACAATTCGATTTTCCACCGACTTAGGCAGGGGGGGGGGGTCACCACGTTCTGTCAGCGACCCTTCATGCACTTGGGAAGGGTGCTTGGTTGTATAGATTGCCTAGAGATGTGTACGGATGTGGCAGAAGCTACTGTAGTGTAGCAAACGTGCCTACACCTTGCCTCCCTTGCCAGCAATGACACCTAAGTGATCTCAAATAACATGATAAGAGCCTAGCCGCGTGCAAACGAGTTCCATGCAAATATATCTCCAAACACATGCCGTGTAGGTGGACCCAGAGAGAATTGCGGGCGGATGCATCTCGTGAGCCTCCACTTCGATTTGATCGTGATCGAACATTAAATGCAACCATTGGTGGTCATGCTCCATAACGCCTTCACTCCACACGTTGCAAACTTATTATCCCGTCATTTCTTTTCTTGGTTCGAATAATTCGCCACCCCCGGCGGAAGATCACACTGTTGAACACAGTAGGAAAAGTGTTCTGTAAGCTGCTGAACGATAGGATAGTGGGAGTATTGGAGAAGGAACATAGCATTAGTGAGCGCCAGGCAGGTTTCCGCAAGAAGAGGGGGTGCGTAGACCACGCATTCACGGCAGGGAGAATCATCCAAGGTAGAAAAAGGGCGGGAAAGCCGACGTGATGCTTCTTCCTGGACGTGAAAAAGGCATACGACACCGTATGGAGAAATGGGTTGTGGAAACAACTGTCCAAATACGGGATCAAGGGGAAAATGTGGAGAGTGCTGAAGAAGATGACAGAGTGCACGAAAAGCGCGGTCATGCTAGACGGAGAACTGTCAAAATTCTTCGACATTGAGCAGGGGGTCCCACAAGGTT